AAGATCATCCAGGCCTTCATTAATGGTACAAACATTCAAACAAAAATATTTTTGGTCTTCCATCTCCAAAGAATTTAAGAACCATGAAAAAAAGAACAGTGAAATAAAAAAAAAAAAAAAAAGTAAACAGTAAAGAGAGGATCAAAACAGCAAGAAATAAATACATTTTAATTGTTCAAAACAGAGACCAATATTTTTATAAAAAAACTCGAAAAGGAAATATAAATAAGATATCTTTAAATTTAAATAAGATATAACTATTTCAATAAAAATTTAAAAATTAAACAATTTTTTGATTTTACAACGATTTTGACAATTTTTTTGTTACGTGATAATTTTATTTTTTTAAATTTCATATTTATATTATTTTCCAATAAATATTTCGGAGGTAATGGCCAAAAAAGATTCCTTTAAAGAATATAATTTCGTAAATTTTGAAAGCTATATATAAATTAATTGGTACCAAATTGTTGTTAAAATAAATATATATATATATATATATATATATATATATATATATATATATATATATATATATTTATATATATATATAAAATGGGATTAAAAAATGTATACATATATATTGTCAGAGGACCGGATGGAGTAACGTCTATTCTAACATAATTTCAACGAAGAAATAAATTGAATAATATATGTATTTTTTTTTTTCTCCTCGGTAATTTTATAATTTTAAACTTAATAGTGATTAAATTTGGATTTTAAAATTGGCAGTTTTTAATTTTAATATCAAATTCTATCATATAATTTAATAATTATTGGTTAGAATAAATTCTTTTTTTAATATTACCCGTATTTTAATGATCTGAATAGCTATTATAACATGACTTCATTGTCAGGCTTTTTGAATTTTCCTATACTTGTATTTTGATTGGTCATTCTAGCTTTTGGAACAACGTTTTCCCCTTGTGAAGGATCGTTAATTAATTTGAAACTTTTAAAACCATTTGTTTTGCATTCAACATCATCACTTGATAAGACACCGGGAGTGTTGAAACAAAATGGCTATTTTTGTAGTGATTTTATAACATGTTTATGTTATTTTTTTTTTAAATAAATAATTATATATATATATATATATATATATATATATATATATATATAATATATAGGTTATTTTATTTTGGCTATTGGTTCTCTGAAATCTAATGACGTTTTATATATATATAGAAGTATATTTCGGCTATTGCATTCCAGTCAACTTTGACCTTCAAAACTTTAAATACAATATCAATCATTATCTTCTATCTTCTTAACTCTTACACTTTTATTGTCTTCTCTCCTTAATAGCCCCCTTGCGTCCTAGTGGCTTTATTGCCTTGCTCGGAATGAAATGATTGCAAAGCAAACATAAAAAAGAAGATATGTGGAGTGCTGGTTAGATCGTCAGCTGCCCAGTGGCCCCAGACCAGTCATGATTGTTATAATGAAATATATTGTTTGAGGTAAGCAGATTTATGTGAAAGTGATGAAAGATTATTTTAAGAATGAAAGAAAGTCTATTCTGTATTGAAGTCTCTTATTCATGACGTCACCAGATATAAGAAGCAACCGGAAATCAACGAGTGAAGGGGTTGAGTAACTGTTCTTTTTTCTCTTTCTGACTTGTTGTTAATGGACCGTAATTGTTCCTTTTGCGCATGCGTTGTCTTTAAAACAAACGTAAGAAGCCAGCAAAAATGTACGGAATAAAAACAGGCATTTGTTGGCGACTTGTTACCATGGCAATCCATTTTGCTCAATAGGAACGGGAGAATCATATTTCGATGTCGTTATAGCAACCATTATCATACGTAAATTGTAATTATATATATATATATATATATATATATATATATATATATATATATGAAATGGTAAATTAACGTTCCATGCTTGTGCATATATAAATGTTAATAGTTGTGTTTATGTATTTACGCGTGCGTTTTATTAATAAATATATAAAACAAGAACCGCTTTTACGTCGAGAGCGGATTCTCTGAAGTGTCGGTAAATATTAAGAACGCTTCTTTCTCATAAAAAAATAATATAAATGCATATTTATACCCGCAGAAAATAAATAGGTGTCATGGAAACTTACCCACATACATGCAAAGATTACCTATTAGAAAGATAGTTATGACAGAGTGAAATAGATATGAAAATTCAGATTAATCATCTGAGACCCACCTCTCTGCTTTTCGTCAGCGTGGCTGATGTTAACATCCAAGACATGTTGCACCATCTAGGGCTAACATTCTCGGCTGGCATAAAGGGGATTATATTGAATCTATATTTAATCCATTGCTAGGTCAGCTGCTAAGAAAGTTGGTTCACTGTGTAGTACTATGTCTGTCCAAAAATCTATCTTACATATCTATAAGTCTACCATACATCCATGAATTGAATATTGCTGCCATATCTGGTCTGGTGCTTCTGCTATATATATCTAGAGAGTCCTCTAAAATCCAAAGAAGAATCTGTAATGTTATCGGTCTTGCAAAATAATGACGTTAGGTATGTACATTTAGTGGGGGACAAAAGAGAGTAACAGGGTTTGTTAAATCAGAAACTTATTTTGAACAGCCATTTGTCTAGTTACTTTCATATTAACGTGTGTGTCCCACCATGGCTACATCCTTGGTCTGACTTCGTTTTAAATTTTCATTAATGACCTTCCCGATGACATCAACTCTCAACTTGGTATCAATGCTGATGACACAATCATTTACTCTTGTCTCGATAAATTCGATAAGGTCAAATTGACAGCCAATATCCAACATGACCTCCAGCATGTTATTAACTGTGGCAAAAGATGGCATGCCAATTTTAACAGTTCCAAAACTAAACTTCTCTCCATTAATCATCTCTGAAACCTGTCTACCTCTCATCAGCATGGTTGATATTCTAACTTCTAGGAAAATGACTTGTTGCATCTTCTTGGGTTATCATTCTCAGCTGGCATGAAGTGGAAAGACTATATTGAATCTATTGTTAGGTCAGCTGCTCATGTAAGTTTGTTCATTGTGTAGTACTAGATATCTTCTCTTTTCAGAATTTATCGTACATATCTATAAGTCTACCATTCTTCCATGCATTGAATATTGCTGCCACATATTGTGCGGTGTTCCAGCTGTATATTTAGAGATTCTCAATAAAAATTCAAAAAAGGATCAGCAATATTATTAATCTTGATCTGGTGTCTCGGCTTCAATCACGCCGTAATATAGCCTCCCTGTGTCTCTTCTATATATACAGTGCTGTTCGATAAAAGTAACTCACCTGATTTTTTTTACTTAAATTTTTTCGCCTATTGTTTTTGGGGTCAAACTAATTTTTAATCTTACTAATATAAAGACCCCTTCCTGGCCACCTAGTAAAAAAGTTTATTCACCCTAAGGTATTCGATTGATAATTATAATTTTGGATATAAATGAGATTTAGGGAAAAACTCTGTGCAAAAAAAGTGACTCACTTATTTCCTGCAACTAGTAATCAATAGAAACATAACTGAACAGCTTTAAATAAAGAATAATAGAGGGATAATTTATTTATAATAGGTAATATAGTTCGAAATATTTAATAATCTATGGGTCCTCCTTTATTTTGAATAACCTTTTCAACCCTTTTTGGCATTGATTTGATTGGGTTCTGGCAAATCTCATCTCCAAGCATTGAATTCCATTCGAATATGAAATTCACAATCAAATCCTCTTTGTTGCTCAACTGCTTTCTCGAGAGCCTGTACTTTATAATGCTCCATAAGTTTTCTATGGGGTTGAGGTCAGGAGATTGGGGCGGCTATGTCATAACACTCACCTGCTTCTCATCAAAGGATTCCTTCATAAATTTTGATTTGTGACAGGGAGCATTATCCTGCATAAAAATGAGTTTGGTGGGGTCGATTTGCACCCTTTCAGCAGAAGGGAGCAGACAAGACTCTAAAATTCTCTTGTACTGCTTACTCTTGAGGGTCTTTTCAATAGATTTTAAGAAACCAGTTCCATGAAAAGAAAAGCAACCCTAGAACATTATACTGAACAGATGCTTGACAGTACTTACTGCTAAATTCAAAGAGCTTTCAAAGCTTCTTCTTTGGATTTTAGATCGCTTATCCATTGAATTTAGCTCAACTTTCGTTTCATCGGAGAAGAGAACATTTAGTAAAAAAATCAGGTGAGTCACTTTTATCGAACAGCACTGTACTTCAAGGTTATTGTTTGGATGAACTCTTTGCTATGGTACCTAGACTGTATAAATTTGAAGTAGACATTATGAATTTAAGCGCAGACTGGCGGCAAGATCTCATCAATTCACACTTGAACGGGCTAGATGTAATTGTAAATTCTATGCTAAGTGTTTCTTCTTCTCGCACATCTTGCTTGTGGATCTTCCTTCCGTCTCCATGCTTTCCAGCCAAATTGATCTTCAAAAATTTAAATGCAATGTCAATCGTTATATCTCTCTCTTTCTATCTCTCTCTCTTTCTCTCTGTTCTTTTTCAGAAAATTCTTATCGTTCTTTTCTAAAAAGTCAATGTTTTCCTTATCTCATCTCCTTTGACACTCAGTAACCCGTTGGTTGGCTTGCTTGCGGTGAAATAATTAAAAGTTATGTTTTAATGACCAAAATACGTGACATTTTAATAAGGTAAACTTTAGCAATAAGCGTTGACTTATTCCTAATAGGTCCCTGCAGTCATAGACGCAAGTGCATTGCCTCGAACGATTGCAACTGAATCATTTCTAAAACAGCCAGACACATTCATGCAATTTGACACGGAGTTGTGCGAACAAGGAGACTATTTGGCGAATAATTTTCTTTCAATCTCCCACACACACTACGTAACAGTAAACAAATATTTCTCCTAATAAAAAAAATAGTGAAATAGAAATAGAAAAAAATGTCTGAAGATAAATTGATATTTATCGCCTTCGGAGGGGTGACTCTACTTTTGCGGCCGTGCGAAATAAACTTCCGAAAAAAATCAATTTTTCATCTAAATGTTTCGACGTTTTCCTTCTTTCGAAAGTTTATTTCCTTTTTATTCAGTCACATACAATCGGTGTATATTGGTTGATCAGATTAAATCTAGCCGTCTTTTATTCATTCATTTGTAGTACGTTACGGCTTTTCTAAACACCAGCCTTTATCCAGTGTCAAGAAAGTGAGTGAATTAATTCAAAATGATTAAATAGACGATGGAGAAAGAAGGACTATGTATAATTCCGAAATAGATGGTCAAGAATCTTTCTATATTAACTAACCAAGGGGTTCTCAACCATTTAATCTGCATAATAACCTTTTAAATAATGACAAAAGTATATGAAAGTTACTCTAAAAAAAAATCTAAGCTAATAAGAGCAGCCAGGTAACTAACTGCTGCTGACTATCGCGAATTTTAAACCTACGTATGGCATATAAAACGCAGGGGAATTTTAAAAGATATTTTTTAGTAAATAAAGTGCGCCTTATATGCAGTCAAATACGGTACTTTCTTTTTTCATTTGTTTATTATTTAAACAACCCTCAGGACGCTACAGCTTAAAGAAATCTAATTAAACAGATTATTTTGACTTACTTAGATAATTCCATTGTTTTTCAGTTCCGTTCGACTAATTTCTAGTAAATATTAGACAACAACGATGCTTAATTATTACGAACACTGTACGTTTTTGAAATTACAATTGAATTTTGGCAAAGCAGATCGATATTCTTTCTATACAGACAAGATGAACTATAAAAACTTACATGACAATTTTAAAATTTGAATGAAAAATAAATAACATATATGAAATCTTTATTAAATTATGTTTTTAAAAGTTGCTATGCAAATTAAATGTTTACAGCTTATGTTGTAAATACTATATGTTACTAAAATCGTATGTTCAAAATACTAAGAGCACACCTTCGTATGTTAAATAGTACCCCACAGACTTCGGGCCGGGATCAATGCGTGGTATCTGTTCTCTTTGTAATTAATGGAGAAGCCGCTCCTTCCTAAGGATTCCAACTATTCGATAACACTCGTTTCATTGCGTACTAGAAGAGGTAGAATCGGTGAAATACCGACGCCAGTGTGATAGTGATCGCTGGGACTGGCCAGTTTTGGGATTTGCCGAAGGCAGGCCAACGCTACAAAGACCTTGAGTCACGTTTTGCCACTGTGGGGAGGCGAGTAAATAGCCTCATATATTTAACAATACGCCCTGGGCTATTTTGTTTCACTGATATAAGCAGGGGACGCAATGAAAAAATTTAGTTTAAAATATAATATCCGGAATGTCATAAAGATTTTTTTTTTTAAATGTGAACAATGTTACTTTAGCTGGTTCGAGAATTGGAATGTAGCATATTCGGTAGCAATGTTTTAAATAGGGTTACATTTGTGCTGTTTTTCGATCATTTTCAAATGGGACTAGCGTTGGTGTGGAAAAGGGTGACAGTGATGCTTCATCACGTTAAAAAAAAAATCTTCAGAAAAATATTTTACCAACTATAGCTATCAATCTTATTTTGAGAAGTGGTCTGAGTCTGGTGATGGAAAATAAAAGAAAATACAGAACATATTTTTTTAAACATTGGTCATATTTCCGCTTTTCTATCTCTAGCCGCACAGGTATTCCTTCACCCCTCCGTCGGTATTCCTTCACCCCTCCGTCGGTATTCCTTCACCCCCTCCGTCGGGATTCCTTCACCCCTCCGTCGGTATTCCTTCACCCCCTCCGTCGGGATTCCTTCACCCCTCGGTGGGTTTAATTGGCGTTTGCCTGTTATGAATCCGCCACACTACCCACCCGCCATTTTCCCCATCTATCAGGAGCAGGAGCAGGTAGATTTTCCTTTGGCAGACAGGAGATTATCTGTCTGGTCAACGTGTCTTCTCTGGCGAACTCTAAGTGCAAAGGTCTATTCAGGCATCTTCGGGCTGCGGAGAAACACGTATTACATAACAACACATATGGCATACGCAACTATTTTTCCTGTATCTTCGCTTTTATCTTTTTTTTTCTTTTTTTTTTTGCTCTGTCTCTAGATAATGAACTTTAATTTATCGCAATACAGACGCCTCTCCAATCCAGAACTACTTTTCATTCAAACTCTCCACCTCTCTTTCGTCGCCATTCATTCGCCTCTCTTTCTGCGGATGTGCGGGTGGTGAAATGGCTCTGAGGGAAAAATCGAAATTACAGTCTGGTTCGTTATATTCACTTTTTCTCAAATACTTTTGTGAAAGTTTTGAATCCATCTCCTCTCCCCCAGCTACGGGTTAAATAGAAGGACTTTTATCTGGAAAAAATGATGGTTATTCTCAAAAGATTGTTAAAAAGATTGTCACTCATAAAAATGAAATATTCTTACAATCAAAAATACGTTTCATTTTTTTAATAGCCCAGAAATGGTTGATAAACCGTAAAAAACAAGTGAGTCAATCAAAAATCCTCTATGTATATTTATTTATTTTTCCTTTCATCTAATTTTGTTTTTGTTTTTATTGCCGGATTTCTTACCGTCTAATTTCCCTGCTTTACATCATCTTTTTCTTTCACGACCCCTTTCTCATTTAATTCCAATTCTTTCCCGATTAGGGAATTATTATATAGATTTCACGATCAGAGATTATTTTCCATAGTGACATTATGCCCTCTAATTCTAGTTAGAAAAGTAAAAAGGCCGTACAAACAAGAACAAAAACAATACTGATATATTATTACTTGTTCTTAAATAAATATATACTGACTCTTAGAATAAGTATCGTATTCAATGAAACACACGAACACACTGATAAAAACGCATACAGTGGGGGGAAATAAATATTCGTACACTTGAAAAATTGTATTTTTATAAATGTAAAAGACTTAAATAAAACAAATCTCGGCACATTTTATGCATAAAGACATATACTATTAAAAAATAATAATAAACTTAATATTTATTCTAACAGAAATTAGTGCATTTTTTAAATTCTAACTGGTGAAAAAAGTATTCGTACACATCAATTATTAGAATAAAATAATCAATCAATTATGAAAAAAGTATATTCTAGAATGTTCCAGTAATGTTATCAGTAATTATAGTTAACGATATTAGCTATTATCAGAGCATTCTGCAATTTCTAGTCTTACGAGAAGGTTCCGATAATGCCTAAAGGTAAAGAATTGACTATTTCACAAAAACAACACATTTTGTGTCTTTGGAAAGATGGGAACAGTTACAGAACGATTTCTAACAACCTGAATATTCCTTTTAGTACAATTGCTTCGTTCATTGCAAGGTTTAAAACTCGTAACAGCGTCGAAAACCAAAGACGAACAGGTGCTCCGAGGAAGATTTCTCTAAGATCAGCAAGGATATTAGGACGCCAGATCCAACAAAATCCACAGGTTATCCGAGAAAAGCTGCAGGAACATCTGCGTGCATTAGGGATTAAAGTAACCAAGCGTACAATAAGTAACGAACTACACAAAAACAGTCTGAAATCACGCATCCCAAGGAAGACTCCACTCCTCTTGAAACGACACAGAGATGCTAGGCTAAAATTCGTTAGAGAGCATAAGGATAAAGAATATTCGTTTTGGGAAAAAGTACTATGGACAGATGAAACTAAAACAGAGTTGTTTGGTCATAATTATCGAAATCATGTGTGGAGGAAGGACGGTGAAGCCTACTTACCAAAGAATACGTTGCCAACAGTAAAGTTTGGTGGTCGCAGTATCATGACCTGGGGCTGTTTTTCTGCAAAAGGTCTTGGCAGAATATCAATAATAGATGGCAAGATGAATGCCGAAGGCTACCAGAAAATCCTGCAAGACAATTTAATGCGTTCTGTTGAGAGACTTTGGCTACCTCCGGATTGGGTTTTCTAACTGGATAATGATCCTAAGCATACCGCTAGATCTACAAGGAAATGGTGAGCTGAAAGTAAGATTGATGTCTTGCAATGGCCAAGTCAGTCTCCAGACTTGAACCCAATCGAGAATTTATGGCGATATTTGGAAATTCAAATTGGGAAAAGAGCACCAACAAATATCAAGAATTTGAAGACAATATGCCAAGAAGAATGGGACAAAATACCCCTCAATGTGTTCAAACCATTAGTTGAGACGTACAGGAATAGACTGGTAGGTGTTGAACTCAATAAAGGATATTGCACAAAGTATTAAATTAAGTTAATATGCTTTTTTGTTTTGTACGAATACTTTTTTCATCAGTTAAAATGAAAACAAATGCATTAATTTCTGTTAGAATAAGAATTAATTAAGTTTATTACTATTTTTTAATAAAACATATCTTTACACATAAAATGTATCAAAATTTGTTTTAGTTAAGGCTTTTACATTTATAAAAAAACAATTTTTCATGTGTACGAATATTTATTTCCCCCCAGTGTATATGACGATTGCGTAAAAGATTTATAAGATCATTTTATTTTTCTTAATCTGCGATGGACACTTAATTTTAGGTTATTGTTACTACTCTGAACTAAGATATCCAGCAAAGGTAAATAATTTTTGTTTCTATTTCATAACTAATTTCTATCGTATGTTCGACTTTGTTTAATTTATCCTCGAAGTCAGTTAAATTAGTTTTGCGTGGATATATTAATAGAGAGTCATCAATATATTGGAAGTATGTTGATTGTTTAGTTCAAATATTTTGGAAAGGACCAGATTCAAGAAATTCTAAGAAAATGCATGTGAACACCTCGCTTAGATGCGAATCTGTTGGTAATAAAAATTATTGTAAAATTTGAAATAGCAGACTGTTCGTAACTGTCGAACTCTCTGCCTTGACCAGAGAGGAACCCGGACGAGGCTTTGCCGCAGGGCAAAGTTTCGTCCGGGAAAGTAGACAGTCCCTAAACCCGTTTATTCGGGTTCTATGGGAATATTTTTGGCCAAGCTTACGACTCGGAAAACCCACAGTAAACTCGGCCTTGTGCCACATACATCCCTCGTGAGGTGGGGGGGGCTGTTAAATATAGCAGTGATTGGTGATGAGACAGTAAATATGTATTATTTAAACTAATGGTAGAGAAATGTCTACTTTCGATTTTCCTAGTGGCTTTTTTTTTAAATGATTTTGTTTATACGAATGTTGGTATAAACAGACTTAATATCTTATACATATATCTTAATAGATTTATTCCCCTTCAATTATCAACCAGGTTGGCTGAATTTGTAATGGGCTGATATACCTAATATATATATATATATATATTTTAAAAAAAGTCTAAATTTAAATTGAAAATTCTCAGAGTTCGGTTTCATGCGCATGTGCCGCCGCAGCGTCGACGTAAAGACCATTTTAGTCTGAGAAAGTCTGAAAGGACGAAACGCATCACAAAAAACATTTTCCACTTTCTTATAAAATTCATATATATATATATATATATATATATATATATATATATATATATATATATATACGGAAATTTAATTACAAATCAAAAAGATAACAGTCCGAAAAGAATCCGATAGTCTAATATATAAGTATCTTTATTTCCTGAGGTTACGAAAAAGATTAGTAACCAGAATTCCGATAATAATGTTTTGATACGACATTATTCGTAATTTAAACCAATGGAAAAGTATACTACTAAAATGATAATTTTATTTGAAAAAATGAACAATATAGAAATGCCACTTTGACACACTTTAAAAAATTTGTTTTTTCAAACTCAAACACTTTTAAAAAATTTTTTTCAAACTCAGCGTTATTTGGCGCGTTTAAAAACCAATATCTCATTTTCAATAGCATTTCGGAAAACAATACACATATATTTTCGATGTCGTCTTATTACTAAGAGAAAAAACAAGAACAACATCTATTATATACCTGAAGATGTCTGTAGGAACAGACGAAAGCTTGTAGTAAAAATAACAACTAATACGGCAGAAATTTATATAAACAAGGATCAATTCATTCATAAAGGATCTGGAGGTTTTTGTGTACTATTTGAATTGTTTGCGAGATGGATGTCTCGCCATTTAAATCATTAACCTTTGCATTAGTTTTTGTGAATAATTGTATATATATATATATATATATATATATATATATATATATATATATATATATACATATATATATATATATATATATATATATATATATATATATATATATATATATATATCTGATATTGAGCGCTTTCTAATAAGTACTTGCGCATATAATATATAAATAATTATACATATATATATTTGTTTATATTTATATACACTTTTCATATATATATATGTATGTATGTGTGTGTGTTTTAGCATTGGGATATATGATCGTGTCATAATTTTAAATTACTGACAATATATATATATATATATATATATATATATATATATATTTATATATATGATTGACCACTGGGAAATGTTCATGAAATTATATTGTTTCGAAAATAAATCCCCTTATGCATTTCGCCATTTTGGCTTCATCACATAGAAAGCAAAAGATGAGTTGTGTGTGTGTGTGTGTGTGTGGTGTGTGTGTGTGTATTTGTGGATTCTTACTAAATAATGAAATCTTATTATTTTTTCCAACCTGGCGTTGCCTGTGGCTAAAAAAAAAAGGAAAGAAAATGAATGATTTTTAAAAAGGCTTTAACATTTATGTTCTTTGTTTTAAATTGTCCGAGTCGAGAGATAAAATCCCTCAGAATGAGTTGAAAATAAGAGCCTTTTTCTTTTTTTTTTTAATCCATACAATTTCTGTGCCGATAGTATGTTTTTAAGTTAGGGTATATGATCTCGGCATAGTTTTAAATTATTCGATGTGATGAAGCCTAAACGGCAAGGTGCATAATCGGATATATTTTAGAAACAGTAAACTTTCATAAACGTTTTCCAGTTGTCAATCATATATATATATATATATATATATAGATAGATAGATAGAT